AGGGGAAACAATGGAAATGAGATTGATAAGGGGATGGGGAACAGCTCAGCCAGCAAAGTACTTGCCATGTAAGCATGAAGACCTCAAGAGTTTGATGCCCAGAGTTCATAAAAGATTAAAAAAAAAAATGCAGGGCAGTGGTGGTGCACACCTTTAGTCCCAGCCCTTGGGAGGCAGAGGCAGGCCGATCTCTATGAGTTCAAGGTCATCATGGTCTACAAAGTGGGTTCCTGGACAGCCAAGGCTTCACAGAGAAACCCTGTCTTGAAAAACCAAAAACCAACCAACCAACCAACCAACCAACCAACCAACCAACCAACCAACCAACCAACCAACCAAAAATAACAAATAAGACAAAGAAACCCGGCATGGTAGTGTGTTTGTAATCCTGGTGCTGGGCGCAGGGGGCAGAGACAGTGAGCTCCATGCCAACGAGAGACCCAGCCTCAAAACAAGTGTTTGTACCTGAGAGACAACACCCAAGATTGTCCTCTGACCTTCACATGCTGTGCATACACACGCAAGTACCCAAGTACACACATTAACACACGAGATAGGGGCTGAACCAGAAACAGACTGGAATTACGTGGGCAGGGTTAATGGCAAACGAAGTTCATTCACTCACTCACTGGACCACAAAAAAGTATGTTTCTCCTCTGTGTCCCTCATTCCAAAGAGGAAATGGTTATTTTTCCGGGGGGGAACTTGATCCCCTGTATGTGTGACCAGGTGGAGGTAGGGTATATTAAACAGGAAGGGAAGGTGGGCGTCTGAAAGCTTGGGTGGTGACAGCAGAGGTTACTGAAGAGAGGTGACCAAATCAATCAAGATGACCACTAAGGTAGTCTTCCCTTTTTTTTTTTTTTTTTTTTGAGACGTGGTAGCCTAGGATGGCTCTGAACTTTCAACCCTCCTGCAAGTTCAGCCTCCTGAGTGCTAGGATTACAAGGCTGTACACCATGCCCAGCCAGGCAGCCAGCTTTCACTAGACCTATAATAAATCTGTTCTAAGACTTCCTGTTTACCGTGAAGGCCCGTCAAGCCAACTTCAAGCCTTTCTTCCTTCTCACACATGGAGATGAATATGGGAATGGGGGACAGTGTGGACTTCTTCCTTGGAGTCTGTCCTTCCGGCAGAATTTCCCAGTTGATACCTTCATCTGCTCACCTCTCAGGGGCACACTCCACCCACCCAGGCCGTGACCCCAGAATGGTTCCCTACAGTCACTCCACTTGAGACTCAACAAGGGAGAGGACTTTTATTCTGATACTTCAAGTTTGGGAGGTTTAAGAAAAATAAAATTCCGAGTAGGCTAGTAGGTAGGCTCAGACACCACTGGGAATTTGAAAGCCTTGGAAGACTTGACAGCTTCTAGAAAGCTGAGATGTAACCTATTCTGAGAGCCCACCTCTGGGTACCTATCCACTTTCAAACCTGGCATGTTACCCCAAGCTCCCGATCTCTGCATACCACACTGTCTCCATCAGGGTGATTTCTAGTGTGTGGCCAAGCCAGTCTTTGTAAAGGTTTCTAGTCAGGAACTATCTGTTCGGCTGCCTCTCAGAGTTCTCCATTCCCACTCTGCCAAGGGCTAAGATAATGTTGATGATCTAAGTACTGAGCTCGTCTCTCAGTAAGGAGGGGTTTCTCAAAGTCAAGTCTAACTCCAGCTCAATGGCAGTGCTGGCGAAGGCTTTGGAAAGTAACTGGAAGGACTTGCTCCCAAGGGGTCTGTCCCCAGAAGCTACACAGTACAGGTAACTGAAACAGTAGCTACCCCCAGTAGACAGTTATAGTTCTGAAACTCAGTATGCCTCAAGTGAGTGTGGTAACACACACCTGAAATCCAAGCATTTGAAGGTGGAGGCAGGAGGATCAGGAGTTCAAGGCCAGCCTGCGAATTCCTGAGTAGGTTGGGGGTGACATCTTCCGGAAGCCCGAGTGTGGGGTTGGTGCTGCCAGCAGGAGTATCTCAGTTCTGTCTGGTCTCTCTACGCTGCAGATCAGCTTCGGCTTCTGGTCTACAAGCACCAAACCACCAGCCCGAATCCCAGTTCTGACACACTCTGTCAGAAAGTGAACCACTCACAAGGGCCTCTCTCCACACACACAGGGATGCAGCAGTATCTAACACACTCTACACTGTGAGGTAAGAGAACAAGTCTCGCCGGGCGATGGTGGTGCACGCCTTTAATCCCGGCACTCGGGAGGCAGAGGATCTCTGTGAGTTCAAGGCCAGCCTGGTCTCCAAAGCGAGTTCCAGGAAAGGCGCAAAGTTACACAGAGAAACCCTGTCTCGAAAAACAAAAAAAAAAAAAAAAGAGAACACGTCTCCAACAACTTGCGGCAGAGTAAGTCCAGGGCAAACCGTTTTCAGAAACAACCCCTACTGGAACATGACTTGCAGAGAACAGATGTTTACCTCTCACATGGAACGCTTGGGAGGCACCAGGGCCCAGGTTATTTTTTTCTCTACTCCAAGGCTCAAGTAAACAAAGCCGAGCGTCCGAACATACACCTGAAGGCAGGCACTGAAGGCACAGGAGGGGAGGGACAAACTGATGATTCGTGCCCCCTGCCAGCCTTGTTTCTGGCTCAGTGACATTCATTGGCATCGCTAGGTACCACAAAGGAAGTGAGCAATTTACACTGCCCCCATCAGTCTGGGAGAGGCAGCCATTTGCAAGCTTGTGGCCCACAAGACCTGAAAGTAAAACCAGTTGAGGTCCAGTTCCCAGCACACATCACATCCTATTCTTTAGCAAAGGTGTTCTCATCCTCTGTTCTCAAGACACACACCGTGAGGCCCACCAGCCAGAGCCAGACCTCCCTCTACACTTCACCGCCGACCAGAATCGGCTGTGTTCAAGTATAACCCAAACTAGTTCAGGGTCCCGAGTAAGAGTAAAGCGGCCAGAACACGTTTCCTGCTTGACCACAGAGGCTTCTCCATCAGACTTCATTAAGCCCATGTGTGGGAAGGGACTTCAAAGGCAATTTCCTGAACTGTAAACAAATGTGTGCATATCTGCATAGGTGTGCACACAAACGAATTCCTTTATCAGCTTCCCAGGGGCCAGAAACAAACAGAAAAGATGACCGTGGCTCGGAGCCCTGCTGCTTGACCACGCTGGAAGAACAGCCACTCCAATCATCTGACGGGTACCCCTCTCCCTCTGGAGAGTGGGAAGGGCTGCCCTTGGAAGGCAACCAAAATGCTCATTTCCACTGGTTTCATGTTCCAGAATTGATGTGTGCTGCAAGCCAACTGTGTTCTATTTCTGTCTATAGGTTTCAGATGCTCCAGAGCCTCAACTACATCTACACCAGCAGTTTGCAACCTGTGGATCACGAACGACCCTTTTGGGGGTCAAACGACCCTTTCACAGGGGTTGCATATTAGATATCCTGCATCAGATACTGACATTCCAATTCACAACAATAGCAAAATTACACTTATGAAGTAGCAATGAAAATAGTTTGATGGTTGGGGTCACAGCATGAGGAATTGTATTAAAGGGTCGCAGCATTAGGAAGGTTGAGAACCACTGATCCAGATCAACCAGCCTAATAGATAACTCCACTCCAGCAGTACCTAATCCCAGCCACACTACCTGTCTAGAACTACAGGGACTAATGACGGCCAAGTCCAAGTAGGAAGCACGACTGTGCTCTACAAAGTGTATACTACACTGCTAAAAATGCCCCAGCAGGACTTATTATTCCCATAAGAAGTGGGAAAACAGAGGCATCAGGTGACCAGACCTCACCACAGCACAGCTTTCGGAGGCAAGAGAAGCAAGGCCCTCTCTCATTCAGCATCTGAAAGTTCTCTGATGAGTGAGTATTCTTTCAAAAGAAGCCTCTAGAAACATGGCTGTTTCTAATGAGTCTATGTATGTACCTAGCAGAGGAAGGAGGATTAGACACTAGGGAACTGAAGCTGGCTGAAGAAGACAACGGCAGAGGTAGTACAGATTCTCACGGGGGACAGTACAATGGCCCGTGGCTCCTGTGTCGCAGCAGGCTCCAGGTTTCCTTCTGTATAGCCAGTGTGAGCAAACTCCATGGAGCTAATACAAGGGTCTAGGGAAGCAGTGCTAAACACAGACTGCCACCCCTCACAGGCCCCTGCTGAGTGGCTATCAGGAATCAGACCCAGGAACAACTAACTGCAGACTATTGCTCCAGATTTCTTCTACAGGTAGGAAAGTCAAGTGGGTTGTCAAGGGAGGTGAACACTTGCATACTGGTTAGTGCCAGACTTCAGTGGTGATGACCCATCTAGAGACTGGACCAGGACCATGTATCTTTCTCCCTCAGCATTCAATTCCCATGGACCATGTTAACTACCTTCAATCTTCAAACCTCGAAAGAACAAAATTTCCCTCTGTCTGCTGCAAATGTTTACAACACAGAGACCTGAACAAACCCTGTTCTAAGATGAACAGAAGGGGAAGCTGTTTTTTTCCACTGCATTTCCCAACTGCAGTAGGAGGGCCTGCCAGTGAGCAGAACCACCCCAGTCAACACTCCCCTTCCACCACACAGACGGCGGGCCCAACCTCCTAGTCCTGCCCGAGCAAACACAGCAAACTACAATTATTTCCAGAAGCACAATCTGAGTTGGGTAATGATTAGAGATGGCAGAGCTCACTACTGGTGGACATACTTGGAGAAAAAGGCACACACTTGTTTCTGCCTCCTACGAGCACCCATGGTACCCCTCCCTACCTTAACTTTCCACTGGTTCCAATTCCAAACCAGAGGCAGAAGAATCCAAGAATGTTATACCAGCTAGCCACTGTTGTACATAACTAGTTCCTGGAGCCAAAGGGAGGCAGATTCAATTTGTTCTACCAATTATGAGTTCAGAGTAAACACTGACTCTGTCAACAATCTGTTTCACAGGGGGAAACAATCCACAGCTACAAACCCCACTCCTAACACTTCACTGAGCCATTAACCACAGATCAATCACACTCAGATTAATCAGACATGAGCAGAGAACATGCTTTATTGAGTAGATATAGAAGAGCACATTCTACCACACGTGGGGAAGGGTTCAGCATCTGTAAAAGGCCTTTACCCCTTAAGAAAAGCCCCAGTGAAGCGGCATTTGGATCAATGTTAACAGTGACACTGAACCTGGAGGGCTGCCACTGACCATGCTTCAGCTCAGCTCCCTCCAACCCACAGTGAGGATTAGTAGTGTACAGATGACAAGAGAAAGGCACAAATGACCAGAGTTAGGGTTGTGGTGAGGGTGCCACGTGAAGACAGCAGTGCTGGAGGAGACCAAGTTGGGAAGGGTGACATGTCAGACATCAAAAGCTGCCCCAAGATAGCAGGTTATATAACGGGACAGGGAGAAATTAGAGGGAACACTTCTTCCTTCACTTAACACCACTAAAAATAGAACCAGAGAAGAGGATGATGGTGAAGTCCCAAAAGGGAAATGAAGTTCTTGGAGGGACAGAAGCACTTCAGCCTGCTGGGGGAGGCACTGGAGAAGGGAAGCAAACCGTAGTGGTGTGGCCACTCTGTCTTGCTGAGTCATGGGCTGAGAAACACAAGTCATTTTCAACCACCTTCCACTTCTCCCAGGAAGCTCTGGACAAAATCAGTGCAACGTATGTGGAAGTACAGCTGCCCTACACCAGACTGGCAAAGGCAGGTGGAAATATCTGCAGTGTGATAAATCAATTAACATGTGGCATGAAACTGTTAAAATACTTGGCAATTGCCAACATAAAAGGGGCAGGAAATGAAGAGAGGGGCACTTTCTGCTGTGGAAAAAAGAATATCCATTTCTTTCCAGCAAGATACTGCCCCAGTGCCCACAAGTGAATACAAAGGAGAACATGAAGTCACCACCTCTTCCTCTCCCCCCATCTCACTGGACCAGGGGCTGTGGTCCCCTGGGAATGCTTCAGGAGAACCTAGCTCGGGCCAGCCTGATCCTGACCAAAGGCAAGTCACTGGACAAACAATGGAGAAAAAGAAGTGATTGTGAGATGAAATCAAGGTGAATGGACCCCTCCCAGTAGACACACATATACTCACAAGTGCTGCCTCTTCCCCGCCCCTTCACGAAGACTATGTTTAAGGAATAACTGGAAAGGGCCCTTCGGTGGCAACCATGTTTGGAGGTCTGGTGACCAGGCAGGAAAAAGCACTAGCACAAAGTTCAGGACACAACAGACCTCATGGGGATAAAGAGCATGAGGCGGGAACAACCAGTGACTGGACAGGTACAGTACCATAACACAACTCCTTGGGTCAGTGCTATGAGGATCTGCACTGGAGCCTGATACAGATCCGTCCAGGCAACCTCACTGAGGCCGAAACAACAGTTCCTCAGAACTAGTGTCTGCAGAGTACACAAAGGTCGGAGCCAGGACAGTCCTGAGGGGTGGCCTTCCCAAAGGATACTGTACTTGCCAATCACAAGAGCAACAGAAATGACAGACAGATCCCTAGGGTACGGATTCCTACTGCTGGGGCTCGCTGGCTCAGAATGACAGGTCACTTTAAGTGCCCTTGGGAGGGGTCCATTTTAAGCAGCTTGGATCCATGGTTTTATTGGAGTTGGACCTTTTGGCCTCTTTGGCTATCCACTCATCTATCAGGTCCTGTGAAGAATAAGGGAGCGATTATTACATACAGGGAACTAACACACTTGAAAACAGATTCCAAAATGACTAGCAATAGATTCACCCAGGTTCCAATAATATATTAAAGGTAAAACATTATATCATCTTTGGATTTACAAACTGCTTTTCTTTCTAATCTATTTCTTCCTATTCTGCCTTCAGTGAGAAGTGAAAACTATTAGTTCATGTAGGCTTATTACATGTAAGTAACTAAAAATGGAAAATGGGCATGAGCTGAGGTGGCATTTGACAAAATCATCTCAACCCACCTCTGAGAATCCTAGAACTTCTGAGAACTCGCATGGATGGGCAGAAGTGTTATGCCACACAAAGCTGCTTAGCTTGTGCCACACAGATCTGACAGAGCTTACCAAAAGCTCCGATAAGGACAAGAAGGAAATAAGTTTAGCAACAAAGGCCACATGGAGCTCGCTGCCAGCTGGTCCTGGTTCCACAGGCTAGAAGGAGCTTCCAGTCATACCCTCTAAGGGAAGTCAACTGTAGGTAGTGCCGCCCAATAAGCTCTGCTAAGCTCTAAGGACACCACGGGCAGCTGAGGGAACTCTCACCTGTCTCTTTAAAACTAGGTGCTTGCCTTTCCAATACTTGAGCATCTGAAGGGCTTGCAGAGTGCTGACAATGTCCACGGGATTCACAGCTGTTTCCTGGCTGATTTCTGTAACAGAGGAACTACTGAGATCCCAGCTGAAGCACAGACCTCCACACCCATGTCTCCCAAGGTTCTCTTTCCTAGTTTTCCAGAGCCCAAATCTGTGGTACTTAGGCTACCTAATTAGAATGTTTGACCAGCCCAAGTAACTAACAAAAACAGATTTAATGGTAAGAAGTTACTCTGGCCGGGCGGTGGTGGCACATGCCTTTAATCCCAGCACTTGGTAGGCGGAGGCAGGTGGATCTCTGTGAGTTTGAGGCCAGCCTGGGCTATAGATTGAGTTCCAGGACAGTCAGGGCTACACAGAGAAACCCTGTGTTGAAAAAAACAAAACAAAAAAAGCTACTCTGAGCCCCTCAGAAATCAAGGTCAAACTGGAACCCCAAATTCTTCCTGTATAAGGGCCAGATGTCTTTCCTAAAATTCCAATGTTTCAAAATCCTTAAAGTCTTTCTTCTTGATTGTTAAAAGAAATGATATATATTCACATGTGTATGTTATGTATTTTATGTATATGGGTATTTTACCTGGATATATGTCTGTGCACATGTGTGCCAAGAACTGGAGTTATATACGGCTGTGGACTACAATATGGGTGCTGTGAATTGAACCCATGTCCTTCAGAAGGGCAGCCAGTGCTCTTAACCACTGAGCCACCTCTCCAGGTCTTCCTCTTGGTTTTTACAAGAACTGAGTGTTAACAACTCCAGATGGGAGAAACCACTTTATAGCCATTCCCAGGACCCAAAGTTCTGGGATCATGAGCCCTGCGGTGAGGTCTCTGCAATGCTCTCTAGTCACAGTCAGATTAAACAGAATAGGGGCCATTGTCATCAAGTGCACTCTACCTTTGATGGAAATCTCCTTGCCCTGGAAGTTGTGCAGGTACCGGAGCAGCACTTCCTTCCAGTAGCTTCGGTAGCTTATGAGGCCCAAGTCCGACAGGGGGCGCTCTGGAGAGCCAACTTTCTCTTCCACTTTGGAAAGTAAATAACCTGCCAAGAAAAAACACAGACTTGGTTATTTATTTATTTTTTATTTGGAGAGAGGGCCTTAAAAAATTATGTTTACTTATTTTGTGTGCATACTGGTGGGGAAATCAAAGAACAACTTGCAGGAATCAGTTCTCTCCTTGTACTATGTAGGTACCTGGGAATCGAACTCAGAATCAGGTCTACAGAGTGAGATCCAGGAAGGCACCAAAACTATACAGAGAAACCCTGTCTCGGAAAAACCAAAAAAAAAAAAAAAAAAAAAAAAAAAAAGAAAAGAAACAAAACAAAACAACCATTTATTTTTATTTTTCTTTTCTTAAAGTTAAACCAAGCTGGCCAGAAAGTGTGGCAATCCTCTAGAGACAGGAATGTTAGCATTATATGTTCGATGCACCATGTCTAGTTTAAATTTTTTTACTTGGGGCTGGAGAAATGACTTTGCAGTTAAGAGCACTGACTGCTCTTACAAACAACTCGGATTCAATTCCCAGCACCCACATGGCAGCTCACAACTGTCTGTAACTCCACTTCCAGGGCACCTGAAGCTCTCACACAGACACGTATGCAGGCAAAACACCAATGTACATAAAATAAAAATAAATATGGCTGGGTGGTAGTGGTGCACACCTTTAATCCCAGAACCTGGAGGGCAGAGCCAGGTGGATCTTGTGAGTTTGAGGCTAGCCTGGTCTACAGAGTGAGTTCCAGAACAGCCAGAACTGTTATACATAGAAATCCTGCCTCAAAAAAACCAAAATAAATAAATAAATATTAATTAAAAAATTGTTTTTAGGGGTTAGAAAAATGGCTCAGCAGATAAAGTACTTTCCACGCAAGCATAAAAACCAGAGTTTGGATCCTCAGAACCCTCATAAAAGTAGGCTAGGCATGGTGGCTGCCAGTCACCTCAGTTTTCTGGAGGCATAAGTGGGATCTCTGGGACATGCAGACTAGCTTAGAGTAGTCAAAGTGAGTTCTCAGTTTAGTGAGAGATGGTGTCAATAAGGAAATAAAAAATAGAGGAAGACACCATCAACTTCTCGTTATCACAGGTGAACATAACACACATGCACATCACACATACCCATGACAAAAAAAAAGACTTAAAAACATTTATTTGTATTTTATGTGTATGGGTGCCTGCCTACATGTATGAATTTATGTATGTGCACAATGTGTGGAGGCCAGAAGAGAGCATTTGATCCCCTGGAGTTACAGACAGTTGTGAGCTGCTGTCTGGGTGCTGGAAACTGAACCTGGGTCCTCTGCAAGGGCAGCCAGTGCTCTCACTCCTGAGCCAGCTCTCCAGCCCACCTCCATTCTTCCTGACTACAACTCAATGACACAGATGCTGGCAGCACACAGCTGACTCTTGTCGGCCACAGTGGTTATGCTCCACAGGCACTGGGAATGCTGACTCGGGAATCCTGGACCACTGCTCACAGGAGAGTGAAGTTTGCTTCTTGAGAGCCTCTGACCAGAGCCATCAAACTGTCTATGTATAATGTTCTCTTCTGTTTACAAACATCTTACAACACATTCTGTTGATTCAGAGGTACTGCCCTCGTAACTCATAATTCACGTCTGCAGAGAGCTTATCTAATCCCTGCAGTTATCAGTCTTCCTGTGCTAAAGACCATTACTTCAGCACAATGCTCACAACCATTTTAAATAACAGTTTCATTAAGGCACTTGTCATCAAGCTGATGATCTTAGTTCAAACCCAGAACCCACATGGAGGAGGAAGACTCCTGCAAGTTGTCTTCTGATCTCCACATATACCCTCCAAACCAACCAACAAATGTAATGAGACCCTTCCCCCCATTAATCTGGGAGGTACACATTAGTGGGTAGACAAATTCAAACCCAATGCCCATGATTAATGAAGAGTGAGTATAATACCCACAGCACGCATCAGGCACATGGATTACCTCTGTAAGTGCTTACATAAGTGAAATCCCAGGCATCAAAGGACAGCTTTAAGCCTTAGGCACGCATCTGTGCTGTCTCAGTCTCAAATGGGATAATCCTGCAGAGCTCACTTTATTATTCTCTGCATCTCCTACGGATTCAGTAGCAACTCCTGGTTCTGTATTCATTGGTTAATGCTCATGTCATCGTTGTCCCCGTCCCCCTCCCTTTGTTCATTCAGTAACTAGCTGTCAGGGTACTTTCACTACATGTTCCGAACTACCAAGAGCACACATCATCCCAACAACATCCCAGGGTCCCAGCCTTGAGGAGCTGATGCTGAGCAACATCACTTACTAAAATCAATGAGCATTTTGCCATAGCCCTGTCTCATATACTGAGGCATGGTAAGGATACAGGATACATTGTAGTTGAGAAATGAATTCTTCTCCTAAAATCAAGAACAGACAAGCAGATCATGAGGCACTGAGAACAAAAATTTCACCACCACAATCACCCCCATCCTAGATTAAAAAAAAAAAAATAAGGCTATAAGGCCTTGCAAAATTAAATTATTGTTAGTCCTAGGAAGTGACTATGACACCTGTTACCACATCGTGATGGTCAAGGCTATTAACCTAAGGATGTCTCCAGTTCAGACCTCCAGTGTCAATTTAGGGAGACAACTCCAAGAGCACACCAACGCTCTTTAACAGCCCTCTTTAAGAAGCACTGTTCAGAGACAGCTTGCCCATTGGGAAGACAGGAAACCAAACAGAATTCCCCTGAAGATGAAAATCTAACCAAATCACACAATAGCTGATTCCATTTATAAATATCCAGAATAAGCCAATTTGTAGGAGGGGCCAGGAAGGTCAGAGGAAACGGGAACAGACTGCGGTGTTTCTTCTTGAGACACAGCAAAGTGAGGCCTGCACCAGTCACACAACTTGTCATATTAGGAGCCACTGCCCTGTACAGTTTAGGGGGTGACTTGTATGCTGTATTGTTTTTTACTTTAATTAAGTTGTTACATTACTTTAAAACTGTTAAATTACATTAAAGCCCACAACCACAGCTGTGATGGCCTTTAATCCCAGCACCGAGGCGGCAAAGCAGGTGGACCTCTGTGAGTTCTAGGCCAGTCAGGATGACACAGGGAGACTGCCTCAGCAAAATGAAGAAGACCTTAAGCTGGATCTGGTCTTACATATTTTTTAAATATGTAATAATGGTGGTTATCAGTTTATTACACAGATTAATCATTCTCGAATGTACAAGTTCCAGAGGAGCAACTGGGTCTTTACACAAGTATTTCCATCAAATGAATTTTCACCCTTACATTGAAATGGGCCTACAGCAGTTAGGCCCATCTAATCTCAAAAAGCCATACAAAGCAGGGTGAAGAAGAGCAAGAAGCTGTTTCTGTATTCATTTCACCCTGAAGGACCTACAGCTTAGGTGAGGGCTATGACCAGACAGATTAAACTCTGCCCGCGTGCTGCATTTTAACGTCTGAGTTTCACTGATGACCATTTCGATGGACTGGAGCTGTTAGTACGTAGAATGTAGGGTTTTCTTCAGCAGTCTCATCTCCCTGCTCTTCTTTCAGCCTTCCTCTTTAGCTCCTTTCCATAACCTTTGGTTTGTATGTGGTTTCTCAGTTCATACGTAGCTAATAGCTCCTATTTTTCTTAGGTTTTTAACTGCGGTAACTGGAGCTTCTCCCTCACACCCAAGCACACACTGGATCCAGCACCCCTCCCATCTCCCCATCATCCAACTTTAGGTCAACAAGGAAAGCTTTTAGTCTCACACCTAGCTTACGCCTGGAGAACTGGCTTCTCTCACACACACTTCCCTGCTGGGAGGCAGTGCTGGTACAGAAGTTCGGTATTTCTAGTTTCTCGTTTCAAGTGTGTACAACACACAGCATGGCTGTGTCAGGTGAACATGTGCACAAGAAGATGAGGTGTGGGCTCACAGAAAGCAGTCAGACCAAAAGGCCTCCCTCCTTCAGAGTTCCCTAGCTTTATTCTTAGAGGTTAGCCAGCCATTTCTTTAATTAAATCGCATACTTCTGAGTCCATTCCTGGGCTATTCTGTTATACTTTTCTCTATCTGTCTTGTAGATCCCAGCAATCTTGGGCACTAAAACATCTAGATCGGGACCACATAACAGAGAACAGATGGACAAAAGTACTTCTGAAATAGTGCTGGAGGCCACTGTGATGGCCCTGTACCTTTTAAAGATGAAGAGGTATTACCACTAGAGGGACTAGTCATGCTACAATGACCCAGCTGGAGAACAAGCAACTAGAATATGTTCCTGGTTTTAACCTAACAACAAGGAGAAAGGCAAAGCCAGCAGAGTTGGCTCAACTATAAGACATGTTTTAAATTCACAGGAAGGGTACAGGCCAGTGGTAGCTCCAATCCACAAGTACAGAAACCGAATAAACTAGAACCTTCTAATAACAGTATCAGCCAAGTATCAGATTCATGTCTGTAATCCCAGCCCTTTGGAGATTGAGGCAGGAGGATATCCTGGGTCTCATGCCAGTTTAGGCTGCATAGTAATTCCAGGCCCACTGGATAACAGAAGAAGAACCTAGACAGAATATGTTCATAAAGCTATCTGTCATACGTGTGCTGGCTGCCGCCTTCTTCTTTGGCTTACAGGAAGCCTATCACCATTGTCTGCTTCCCCATCAGAGGTCTGAGCCCTCTAATGCCAATACCCATAATGCTGCTGTGGTTGTTAAGCTTCTAAATCACCAGATCCTGCTGACCTTAGAAAAATATCCAATCAGGTGACAGCCAGTATTGTCCGCTTCTGTCATAACGTAGAACAGGAAAGGTTCTACATCATAGTATAACGTCTTATGGTCCAGAAAAAGCTTCGCCAAAAGGCACAGGTTTTGGCAGTAGATCTGGAAGCAGAGAAAGAGTTTATGTGGGGGGTCAGAGGCTAGAAGAGTTTAGAAAACACCCAAAGCAAAGAACGGCCAAACCAGCACTATCCTGAAACAGAACTAATCCCTAGTCCACACAAATGTTTTGTGAAGACAAAACAAACTTGGGAACCCATCAATGCTTGACCCAAGCACCTCTTTCTTTCAAGTCACCACTTTTTACCTTGTTTTTCTTGCCATCTACTTCAAACACAGAGATGGAGCCTTTGCGGTATATCTCATCACCAGGGGGGTGTTTCCATACACACTTGGCCTACAAGAGAATGGAGTCCACATGAAGCAATCAGATTTTTCTACAACCCTGTTCCTTAAGAGGGAAAAGGAACTGCAGGTTAAAACTGGTTAACTGAGTTAATGGACAGTTGAACACACTTGAGGACAGTGAAATCAATTGTGTTCAGAAAAGTTAAAGCCTTCTTAAGCTGTTGCACTATATCTATGGCATTTCTATGGCTGTTGGGCTCATGTTGTCTGGATTATTTTTGGCATTATCTCAGCCCAAGATATTAAATCACCTATAACGTAAAAGCCAGATAAATAAGAATATCCTTGCTTACAATAAAATGTCTCATGCCAACAGGAAATTCTTAAGCAGCTTATTCTGGCAGCTTAGTGTTGCTAAGTATGTTACGCTCACCTTTCCCAGTCATTTCCCATTACCATCCTGCCTCAGCATCTGTTTTCAGACTGGAAAACAGATCCACAATGATGAAGAGCATGAGCCACTCGATATCTGCCCACCTCCTGCCATATGTTAGAAAGAGAAAGACCTTCTATGGCTTATTTTAAAAGGCAGGAGGCCTGGCTAAGCAGTAGGAAGCTGGAAGGCACTTGGTTCCAAAGTAACCCCATTTTCTTAGTCTCAAAATGTTCGATTCATGGTGAAGATAGTACGCAGCATTTTAGGCAGCAAGCCAAGTTCTCTTACCCTGCCAGTGAAAAGTTCCAAGCAGGTAAAGGTGTTTGCTGCCAAGCCTGATGACTCAAATCCAATTCTGGGACTTACATAGCAAGAGAGAACTGACTCCCACAAGTTGTTCTCTCATTTTTCACATGTATGCCATGGTGTGTATGCACATGTGCACACATCTGCATGCATATACACACACACACAAGCTCACACATATAGAAATTTTCTTATTAAACAATTTACTACATCTTTTTGACAACTCAAGAATAAAGTTCCAGGCTGGAGAGATGGCTCAGCGATTAAGAGCACTGGCTGCTCTTCCAGAGGTCCTGAGTTCAATTCCCAGCAACCACATGGTGGCTCACAACCATCTATAATGAGATCTGGCACACAGGCAGAACACTGTATATATAATACACAATAAATAAATCTTAAAAAAAAAAAAAAAAGAATAAAGTTCCACCGGACATAGTGGTTGGTCCACAATGGTGATGTCAGTACTCAAGAAACAGAGATAGGAAAATACTACAAGTTTAAGGCTAGCCTGAGCTAAAGACCCGACTTGTAACAAACAAAAATCATATACACGCCCTCCAAGAATTATGCTCCAGGTTTGGGAATGTAGCTCGATGGTACAGTAGATGGTTTAGTACTTACCCAGTAAGTTGAGACTGCACTCCCTCCCTAACAGAGGGCTTGAGTGCTTGCATGTGTGTGTGTGCTTAAAGCCTGGATACCATGTTCTAATCTTCACAGGTAACTCAAAAACTTATTAACTGGAAATGTTTCAAAGTTCCATCTATGTTCCTATCTCCTCCCCTTACTTGTTGAGGAATAGAATATTTGTTTAACTATGTAAAGATGTGTTGCATTTGTTTTACTTTGCCTGCCTAAGGCACCTGGTTGGCCTAATAAAAAGCTGAAAGGCCAGAATAAGTAGGAGGAGGAATCTAGGCTCAAGGGGAGAAAGAGGGAGAAGAGAGGGAGACACCAACCTGCCAGATACAAAGGAAGCAGGAAAGTAGGACATACAGAATGAAAGAAAGGTAAAAAGCCCTTAGGCAAAATGGAGATGAAGAGAAACAGATTTAAAAAGTTGTAAGAGCTAATGGAACAAGCCTAAACTAAGCCCAAGCATTCGTAACTAATATTAAGTCTCTGTGTCCTGATTTGGGGGCTGGTGGTCCATGAAAGCCTGCTACACTTATTCCTGCTCGTTCTTTCATGATAACCAAACCCACGAAACAGCTATTTGTTTAAAACATTAGCCCAGCCAAAGAAGCCATTTCAGTGATTATACCTGTGGCAATGGGAACACAAGCAAGCTTGCATTTCCTGAAATCTGACTTTTATACTCATAATTCACTAGACCAAGGTGTGCACATCTTTCTTATTTTAATATGAAAAATGTTCAGAAATACAATCAATCAATTCTGTTACTTTCATCATCCATTACAAGTGGATATATGCATTCATTCAACACACATTTCATAGACACCCACCACCTAAAAATATAAGCCACACTGTCCTGTCATATCTAATGAAATATATGTATTTTCTTGGAGTTTGGACAAACACAAACTGTAGGGAAGGGAAATTAATATTCTGAGGAAGAAAAAAGAAAAAAGATGTTTGTAAATAGGATGAAGTGAAGGTGCCCATACAGCACTGGTCCTGGTGGACAGTCACCCTGAAATGTAACTTTCAATTCCTTCAGTCTCCACTCCATTGCTATGGACACTTGGGAGATGTCATCTCAGACACTTATGTCATCTCTAGGACACAACTGGAAAATCACGTAACAGTCCCCTCGGGACCATGCTCACAATAGTGGAACTCAAGAGAACATACCATGTGTCGGCGGAGTATTGTTTGGCTCTTCATGTATTTTAAACAGAATTCACACATGTAGAGACGCCCCAGCCGTGCATATTCTTCAGGATAGGGAGAATGGTACCAAGTATCCAGCTCATAGCGGCCAAAAGCAATTGTTTTAATCATGTTGCTCCCCTCTGTTATTTGGCCTTGAAGCCTTAACTTCTCCTATTGCCAAGAAGAAACCAAAACAAATAAGGATTTAACCAAAACAAATAAGGATTCCTTATCTTTGATTTTAAAATTAGTGTGGGTTTTTTGTTGTTGTTGTTGTTGTTGTTGTTGTTGTTGTTGTTTTTTTCAAGACAGGGTTTCTCTGTTTAGTCCTTGATGTTCTGGAACTCACTTTGTAGACGAGGCTGGCCTTGAACTCAGCGATCCGCCTGCCTCTGCCTCCCAAGTGCTGGGATTAAAGGCATGCGCCACCACTGCCCAGCCTTAAAATTAGATTTTTAATCTATATGCAAACAAATCTATATGTTTTGTAGGCATACATATATGTGCAAGATATGTATGCCTAGTGCCTGCACAGGGCAAGAAAAGGCATCAGATGCCGGAAATTGGGAGTTATAGGTGACTGTCAGCCACCAGGAGGGGGCTGGGAACTGAACGTGGTTCTCTGCAAAAACAGCAAGTGTTCTTAACTGCTGAGCCATCTCTAGCCCCCATTATCCTTGTTCTTAAAAGCCTCTGCCAGGCCGGCAGGGAATCTATAAAAATCAGCTAGATTTGGCCTCTAGCCATGAGATGGCCATGAGGGTTACCTGAACATGGAAAATCAGGTGGCTCACACAGAAAACTTGTCAGCTATACTGCCCAGGAATCTTTAAAAAAAAAAAAATGTACTCCATAATGAAGATGACCTTGAACTCCTGATTCTTCTGCCTTCATTTCCAGATGCTACAATTATAAACAGTGCACCATCACATCAAGTTATGTGGTGCTGGAGATGGAACCCAGGGTTTCTTGGATCCCAGCAAGCACCCTACCAAAAGAGCCACAATCTTAGCCCATTCCTGGTTCTGTTTGTTTTTAATTTTTTTAGTTAATTTTTATATTGTATGTATGCAAATGCAAGTAGAGGTCAGAGGTCATCTTGAAGGGAGTCAGTCTTCTCCTTACAAGAGGATCTTGAGGATCAATTCAGGCTTGAACTCAGGTTAGGCCTGTTTGTCAGCAGCTGCCCTCCTGGTCTTCCTTCCTCCACCTCACAAGTGCTAGCGTTACAAGTGCACACTAGGCAATTACTTGTAGTAACCATCGGGAGAACCAGGAAAGGCTGGCCTTGGGCTTTATCTTCATGATGGAAAAGAAAAGCAGGAGGTGGCGACCAATAAATATTCCAGCCCAGAGCAGCCGCCAAACTCTGCCTCCTGCAACTGATATAATAAAAGGAAGGAGTGGAGGAAATCAACACTACAAACTAAATTTCCTTGAACACATTTAATTTGTTTTATCATGGGTAGTCTGTCTGGTGATGGGCATGGTTGAACATGACTGCAATCTTAGTAGTAGAGACAGTGACCAGCCATTAGTGAGCTCTAGGCCAGCCACAGGTAGGTAACAAGACCATATCAAAAGTAGACAAAAAGGGGCATTTCTGCAAAAATATGGAGTGCATCTATGATCAGTGGGAGGACGGCATGAGCCCAGAAGTTTCAATTTTGCTTGAACAACAAGATGAGAGCCCCCCCTTGTCAAAAATCAATAAAATAGCTGATTGTAGTCTTCCTTACCATTTTTCTTCACTGTTATTTTCATGCTTTAAGGGTAAATGTATTTATTAAAATGAAAAGAAACCCTATAAAAGGATGGTGCTGCAGTCCCCCAAGTCCTGAGGTTCCCAGAACTGTAAATTTTATCCAAGACAAAAGGACACCCAGAGTTTTAACCAGCCTCACTACCTCAAGCCAAATTGGATCTTCCAGTTGAGGGAGATAGAGAAAAACTTCAAGGGGAAGGGATGAGAAGAAGGTGATGTGTTTTACAGAAATGGGAAGACTGTCTCTAAAGACAGCTGGGGAAGGAAAGAGATCTGTCAGGGACAAGGACAGAATCTCTAGTTAGTGGAAAAATACAGACCCCCAATAAGACTGGGAACTAGATCATCTTACAGTCAGGTTGCTTAGCAACAGGACATTGAGTCAGAGCCCTTGACCCTCTCACCCTGTAAACATCCTATACAAACATCCTGTTAGCTTGCCCCACCTTATGCAGATGACAGCTTCTTGCTCCCCCCACCCTGCGGAACTATATAAACCTTTGTGGAAGAGAAATAAAGTTGCACCTTGATCAGAATCTAGACTTGGTGTCTTTCCTTTGTATCTCCTGTCCCTACATTCCCTCCTTAGGGTGGTCGAGAACCCATTGAAGCCCTGCAGGCGGGGCAGAGATCTCAGCAGTAAAGCACCCAACTCCCATCAGACTGGTTGCTAATCACTTTTCTTGGCAGTTCTAAGGGCTTTTCATAAGGGTCTTCCCCTCAGTGTGGGGTTTTTGATACTCACCAAATCCTCAGAAGCCCGAGCTTGTGCTCTTCGGAAAAGATCTAAGTCATATTCACTCGTCAGGTTTTCCAAGAGAGGCTCCCGAGTGTTCCCATAGGTCTGTCTGTGTTCCTAGGAAAAATGACCAGGGGTGATACTGTCTGTAGACCTTGTTTTATTTCATTCCCATGAATACCAAGCTGAACTAGAAGCTATTTACAAAGTACTTACACACTGGGTGTGGGGAACTGAGCTCAGGCAAACTGGTAACAGGTCAGTGTCAGAGGCTACTCCTATATGGATCTGAACAATGTAAACGACAGCAGCCCCCAGGAGGCACCACAGATCCTGGAATCGGGCTGGTGACACTCCCTGACAAGCAAGCAGATCCTCTGAGCCGCCTTAGTGCTTGAAGACACTGCCTGGAAGGGAGCCTGCAGCAAGGAGAGCCGCTGGACGTGGTCCTTGGGAAACTGCTCCTGACATGACTTCATGACTGCAAACGTGCAAGGCTCCCACATTACAACACCAGCCCAAGTGCACAGTTGGAATCTCTAACAATGTCTTGCTAAACATCAAGAAAAATTAAAGATAAGAATATAAAAGGAGCCGGGCCATGGTGGCACATCCCTTTAATCCCAGCACTCAGGAGGCAGAGCCAGGTGGATTTCTGTGAGCTCCTGATCTACAGAATGAGATCCAGGACAGGCACCAAAACTACACAGAGAAACCCTGTCTCAAGAAAAACCAAAAAGAGCCGGGCGGTGGTGGCGCATGCCTTTAATCCCAGCACTTGGGAGGCAGAGCCAGGCGGATCTCTGTGAGTTCGAGGCCAGCCTGG